GCTTAATGATTAATTAGATGGAACATTGTGGGTGTGGTGTATGAATGTTAACACCTTGTATTAATTCTTTAGTATGTTACTTGTGTGGTGTAGAAGATAATTATTTAAGAATGTAATTATGTAAGAATGTTAACACTCTGTTATAATTTTTTTAGTATATTACTTGTGTGGTGTAGAAGAGAATTATTTATGTAGAGATACTGCTTGTAAACCAATGATGGTAAGATGATGTCATGGGGTAGGACTGGATAAGTCTGATTTCTTCCTACTCCATTCAAGCATGTACTAGGTATAAGCAAATTGATATTGGATTAGCATTTGTTGGATATGTGTAAAATTATGTGTGTTGACATATCAACTGTCTTTACATGCTTGAAAGAATAAATCAAATCAAAAGATGAATTGTGTGTTGGTATCAAAGTTGATTACCATTTGTTTTCCACTCCTGTGTATTTTCAAGTGAGTTGTGCTTTAAGAGTACAAATCTGAACAACCTCAGTGCCCTACTGTCAGAGAGGCCGCCTATATTGCCTCCTCCAAGTCTTTTGCCATCATGAGGCAAGGTGAGGCGAGGCGATGCGAGGCGAGGAGAGGAGAGGCGAGGTAAGAAAAGAAAAGATAAGATGAGATAAGATAAGATAAGATAAGATAAGATAAGATAAGATAATCCTTTATTGTCATTGTAACACGTACAACAAAATTTTAGTCGGTGCAGCAATAAAAAAAACACAACATATGAAATATGTCAGTTCATACACTAGTATGGGTTATGAATGCATCTCTTTGGCCAGACACTAGCCTGCACCACTAAGTGTGTGCTGAAGCGCAAGTAAAAAGGGAGACGAAAATGAACTGCCTGACGTGCTCAGTGATCTAATCAAATAAAGGCTAAACGCCTGAGCTCCACAAACAGGCTGGCTAGCTTGGCTTTCCCTCTCTGTGTCCCAGGTCAGCGATCATTACCATACAACAATATTAAGGTGACCTCATTTAGCCAAAACTTGATCCACTCCTGCTTTTCTCCAACTGATTTCTAAGGATTTTCTAAGTATAAATCTAACCTAATTTGAGGCTGAGTGAATATAATTGAATTTTAACTTTCTCAAATATTGTACCTATGTACAATTTTGAGGTACTTTATTTTGAGTATGTAAATATCATGCAACTTTATACATATCCTCCACTACCTTTCAGATGGAGATATGGTACGTCATAATTCACTACATTTATTTTAAAGTTACATATCATATTAAGATTTAAAATGTTAATATGATCATTTTATAAAACATTATGCACCTCTATAGATTCAATTACAACTATCCAAAAAGTTGTTAATGTCAACACATCAGTAATAATATTCTGATGGAGTATTTTTACACTGATACTGCCAGTTGAGTTAGCAGTTACATGAGAGTCAGGTCAGAGGTGATAGTAATCTACCATTAGCTCACCAACTGTTTTGGACTGAAATGACCGGTGGAACATTACTGTCTAAAAGCACCAGCTACTTTCAGTCACGCTGGCTTTCTTCCAAAAAGCAAACAGTCTCTGTGATGTCTGAGTGTAGGTTGCTAGAACACGGATGCAAACAGGCTCAGGAAACGGAACAAGTATGTCATCAAAATCAACAAAGTGTAGGACCCACTCCTTGCTACCATGCTAACTCTGAGAGACGAGACAGTCCAAGTAACTACAAAACAGTGCTGATTTATTCAAAGGATCACAGGTAAAATTAACATTACACGCTCAGGTATCTTGCACCTCCAAACTGCACGCAGGCAAATGAAAGATGAAAGACCCTGAGCCCACCAGGCCTATACATTATATCCC